GCTAGGTGCGAGAACGCATCCCTGATTCACTCTGTTGGTCACTGCGAATGCCTCTGAGACAGCTGTATTGTCCGTGACTCGCGCCATCAGGCCATCGTGGAGCTGACACACCATCTGAGTGAATCGCTCGGGACAGACGAGTCTTTGCATAATTTTCCACCGTCTGTCACGATTCACCATGTCGAAGTCTTTCGTCAGATCCACGAGGGTAGAGTAGAAGTGGGTCGACATCTGCTGACACTTTTCCTGCAGTTGAGGGGCGGCGAAGATCATGTGGGTTACTGCGGAAGCCAAACACTGCCATATTTTGACGGGTAATCGTTTCTTCGTTCAAGTATGCCCTTCGTGGATGCAGGGTGGGTGGTTCGTGCGTTACAAGGACTCGAGTGCGCAGTTTGTGGTTAGAAATCATCAGATAGGTCAGGAACGGTATCTGTCATACTCCCACGGCCATCGCATCGCGTCTCGAAGACGGCGATGATGATCAAGTAGGGTCACACCTGAACAACAAGACACCCAGGAACATTTAGTTATCAGCCAGTTGCAGGCATCATCTCCTATCAAGTTCCGAAATTTCACAAGTTGGCGCAAGTAATGGTGCACTTAATCACCTGTAAAGGGGTGGAAATTTGTCGGAGGTAGCTCGAAAGTTAGACTGTCGGTACGGTAGGCGACCTAACTAATGAAGGCTAATGAGCCTACATCCGACAACAGGGTGTCGCAGAGGCGGTGACATGCGCGTGATTTAGTTTATAATAGTAGTAGACTTACAATGCATCTACCCCGGTCTCTCTCCTTCTCATCCACAACCGCCTGGGCTCCTGGTAAGTTCTGGCTATGCAGCCACACCTGATGGACACAATACTGTTGGGGTTGGGGTTATGGGCTAGGGCAGCTGAATCTCAACCGTTCAGAGTATTTCAGTTTCCAATAGCTTTTCTTTTGCACAAATTACTTGACATCTTCGCCCACGGGTTCGCCGGCCGCACCTGCAAAAACTCCTATTACCACCGGTCTCGCATTACAGATGGCTGGGGTTTGTTTACTTCTGGCTACTAACTGCGATCTAGCCCGGTCTCTTTTTCTTACTCAGCACAGGTGTGGGCAGGACGAATGGCAATAAATAGAAGAAGCAACTGGCAGAGCGCCAGCCAAATGCTAGGGGTCACCCCAAATCCACAAATCCCACCCACTTGCCTCGACTAATTGTAGCCCCAGGCGGCAGCCCAGTCAGCCGGATGATTCGTGAACCACATCTTCTTCGAAGTGACACAGCTCTTTGCATCCATCTCGGCGGATTTGTTGCGAAAGGCTATACGGTGCGTCCTGCATGGAAGTATGGCAAATCATGGGCTTGTCTTTACTGATATTGTCATCATACTTAAGTAGTATTACAGGTCGATGCCTCCCGTCATTCCGGGTAAATTGTAAACATATATCTGCATTTATGCAGCACCAGTGACATGTGTGTCGATGGTTTGCAATTTACAACAGCTAACCACATTTCTCCTCTCTGAATCATTGTAGAAATTGCATGTTTATGCTCAATCGTATTATTGGACGCAGAGGACTGCTCGTCTGTTGTCGACTACTGCGTCCATTCGTCGGCAGTTTCAGCTGCGTTTCATCTTCTCCCTCCTCTCCAATTAACCTCAGGGATCACAACATCAACCACATGTTTGGTGCGTACGAGGAGGTTCTTTCCATCCAGATCCACTATCTTCGTCAGGGCCTAGGAGCCAACAATATCCTCCTATTTCCCGGTCCATTCGGCTCCATCAGGACTGATTACATGGACTTCCTACAGCGTCTTAACTGAACTGAGTACGTTCCATGGGGCTGCTTGACACTGTGTGTTTTGACCAACTGGTGTAGATATAGACGGAGATAGGTGTAGAAAGTGGCACAAGGATACATTATATAGAAGTGGCCCAGTAGCCGACGACTACACTATGTACGCTGTTGGTTCACACTCAAGATTGGGTAGACCAGTTTGGTAAGCGTGAATATTCGTATACAACAGTCATTGTGCTGTCTGCAATGAAGGATGTTGTGACGAAACTAGCAAATCTGCCACTCACACACAGTTATGATCATCAATGAAGGATACGGAAGGGAGACCATCTGTCACGATTATCCATACATGCTCTGGATATGGGACACAAATCTACTAAATTTATGCTCGAAGGAAGGGTATAATTCAGTTTTAAAAAAGTTTCTAATTTTTGGATTTTTAATATCGTTGAAAACCGAATTATACCTTTCCCTCGAGTATCAAATTAGAAGAAGGCGTAATTATCTACCGAATGAGCAGAAGAATGAATACTTTTGTGCATGTTTTCCATTAAATATAATTGGACTATTCGGGGCATCGAAAGTCAATGAGAAAATTTCATGCTAAGTAAGTAGTCATTTTTTCAGAGCGCAGTTTTTGTATGCAACCGGAAGGAAGTTCATTCGAAAGTCGGCATCCTGAGGTGACTGAACTATCATGTTGCAGACTAACTAGTTTTACAAACCTAATTAATTAATCTTTTCGAAACGAAAAAGCATTTCGAAATTGCCGTTGACATTTCATCAGTTAGTCCACCTACTGTAATTCATGCATGCGTGTAGTCTGGAGAGGTTCTCTCGGACGTCACGTTTTAAAATTTTGCGAACTCGCCCACCAGTTGTACGTCTGACGACGACTACGACGATGACGACGACAACGACGACCTAGGGCAATAAGTTTTAAAATATCCGAAACAAAGTTTGTTGTTTCCTCAAATGACTTCTTCAGCATGAACATATACACACGCAAGGAAGGAGAAACATCAACGTCTGTGATGACTGCACGTGGCCTATGAGAACATCTTAGTTTACAGTAGGCGAGATTATCTGGAAACACAACAACCCTTATTGCGCGCACATTTTCGATACAGGTTCGCCAGCTCATTGCCAGACTTATGGGACACACACAAAAAGAGTTCACCCTTTAACCCTGTTGAAGAAGTGATTCTGCAGTTGGCTGAAGCTTGCGCCATTGCATGTCAATTGCATTTCTTCATGCCCTCGACATTGGCTACACTGGCTTTCATTTGTCCCTGAGGAATTTGTGAGTGGCATCTAAACCGAGATGCCGATTGATGCAGGGCACAGTTGATTGAATTACTTCCAGGAATTCACAGCGCATGCTTATTGGTAGATGGAGGCCAATTTTTTTTTGATCTCACCGTGCATAAATTTAAAATGCACTAAAGTCTGTCAACGGAATGCATTATTAAGGCACTCCCTAAAAGGGTAACTTAGTAGAGAAAGTGTTATAAGTGATCGAAAGCATGTTCTTTGTTAACTTTTGATGTGAACGCTCATTTTCATGAACGACGAGGTTTCATGGGAAAAACGCCTAAACACTCACTATTTCGGTAAATGCCTTCGATAAGTATTTTATTTCACAGGTTTCCGTAAACACATAATACAGAGTCCGTCTTTATGATGCAATCCATCTAAAACACAAAAACAATCTCAAGGTATGCAGGGATGACTCAAGGCTGACCTGAAATTCAGCGTAATCTAGAACAAACAAGACGTCCGAATTAGTTTTACGGAAGAAAAGTCCTGGCAACATGGCATCCCCGTTGGTGAAATCAAGTGAAATCCTCTTAAAGGATATTTAAATGTGAAATTAGCTAAAAGACCACTTTCAGACGTTAGTCTTCTTGTACTGCTTAATTTACTCGTTTTCCGTATGAACAGACATTCCTTTCATCTAGAACTGGATTTTACACGATTGCAACCATCTTTGACTTTTTCGGATTTTTCTGCATTTCTCAAAAAATCCATGTTTCTAAGCAATCTACCCTTATGTTTGATTAATATAGACATAGGGTACATGCATTGGTGTCGGTTAGCGAGTAATTAGCAGTCTTTTGTAAATTTCGACACTTTGCATTAGCTAGGTCACATAGTTTACACCATTTCCCCGTAAACCACCTTGTCTTCATCATACACCCACGCGCATATGTGTAGAGTAGTCGTACTGCCTGTGATGAACAATCACTCCACCTCTTGAAGGCGCAAATTCGCTTTCGGTCGCGTAGCCGGCAAACCAAGCACTGTCAGAACGAATCAGTAGCGCCACTGAAGGTCACTCGCGAAGGAGGATGTGTTTGAAGTCGGCCTGAGCAACATGCATTCATTTGGCCTTCGTGGTGAGCACGAGGGAGAGTTTTGGATGTGGGACTAGTAGCATGTTGTACTAGGGGCTGGTCTGCCCGCAATTATCCTACGCCACGGAGTTAGTCTATAGATGGTTTCTACGGGACAACCCTTTAGTGCCGTGTGCCCATTCGTGTAAGCCATGCACAACAGAAACGCCTTCCGCAGCCTGCTCACAAAGCACTTTTGTCCGTCTTCCCCCCTCCGCCCACCCCCTTTAGGTTTACCGCGATAGCCTTCGATCCGCCGGGCTGCGGTTTCAGCATTCCCCCCGACCGCGATTGGAGTGATCCGCAGATCCTGCTGCAGGATGCCAGAGTTAGCGTGAACTTGATGCGCCAGCTGGGTCATCTGCCCTTCTCCTGCGTGGGCTGGTCAGAGGGCGCTCAGTCAGCCATCCGGGCGGCATCGGAATTGAATACTGACGGTTAGTTACATTTTGATTGGCCAATTCTGCTGCTGGCACATCTGCTTATTTGTTGTCCTAGAATGCACTTATTGTGGACGCTGACAGTGACAGTATGTCAAATGGCCCGTTGCCTGGCGTCATGATTTCTTGACCTCTACTCCCTACACACTCACACACGCACACAACGCGCGGTGAACGAAACGAAACTAGTTCCGATTTCCCACAGACTACTAAGAATACCTGAAAGGACACATCAGGAAGCAGCCCTTTCAACCTGACGTTCCGTTCTGGGAAGAACCGAGGTGTCCCGCCAAGCTACCTATTTTTCACTTCAATTGGTCGCCTAGACAATTAATTTCTCCCGACCATGAAGGCGGGATGATGTGAAATGCTATGGGTGTGTGTGTGTTGTGTTGCATGGAGTGGCGGACTGGTGGGCTGGGCTGGGAGACGGGCTGAAACAGCACCTTCTACGGCGCTCTCAAGCAAGTGAGAGCCACGCCGTTCAACCCCCGTTGTGTGAAATCCTGGTGTATGTGTTTGTATGTGGGACCAGGTCGTGCACGTGGCGCACGCAGGCATGGCCAGTCGACCATGTCCGCCACCGCGCCCATTCCCACTCCAGTCAGCTGACCGGCTCGGACAGTGAAATGCTCTCATTATTTTGGGGTGTGTGTGATCAGCATGCTACTGCCAAGTCTTTTCCATTTGCTACCTGCTTATTGCACGCATACATACGAAGGAAACCTAATTTATGCATTCAGACTCGATTGAGGGCCTGGTGGTGTGGGACCTGGAGGGATATATTGGCGCAGAGGACGGATCGGGGAATGGTGGTCATATCATGGGAGGCAACCCCGGTTCGCTGGACTCCTTGCCAGACACCCGTCGTCTTCCGCTGCAGGCTGTCTATGGTAGAGCGTACATGCGGGATAGTTGGCCTGCCTACGTTGAGAGAAAGAAGCTCCGACGTATGGGTCCTGCCGATCTCCGCTGCCTGCCACAGCATCTCCTCCGGATGCCCCTAATGCACATTGCATCCCGGCACTCCGAGGCACGGCGACACCATGATGCCAACAGTCAATCAACTGGATCGGCTCTCCTCGCCTGTTCGTGCTGCTGTTAAACCCTCTGGCCCGACAAGTCTGACGCGGAACGGAAGGCTGGCTGGCAGCTGCCACACAAGTTGCATGCTGATTTCTTTCAGTCCTGTGTCGAAAACTTTATTCTCGAATCTATTCACTAGAATAAAATGATTCACGGTAAAGTGTCAAGGTATCTCGGAGGTTAGGCAGATCCTATTTGGTAGCCGTATCTGTTAGAGGTTAGGGTTAGGGACTGTGGTTAGGTGTCAGGGTTAGGGGTGAAGTTTGGGGGTTGGAGTTGAGGTTAGGGGTTAGGGTTGGGGTGTAAGGTTGGTGGTCGGAGTTAGGGTTAGGGGTTAGGCTGGGTCATGTCTACTGCAGGTAAGGCAACGAAATGTGATCCGACCGGGAGATTGTTTACGTTCATTCTGATTGCCGGATAAGTGGGCTACAGTGTGCGTGTGTGGGGGGGGAGGTGGGGGACGAGTGGGTGGGGTGGGGTGAATACTGCCGGCATAATCGCCCTAAGCACTGGAGCAGGGGACCCGAGGTCTTTCGAAAAGAGTGGACCTCCCTTGCTGTTCACGCTACCTGCGTGATGCTTGTTGTATGATAGACAGGTATACTGGCTGTTAGAAAGTGCTACGCAAAGGGCTTGGAACTCTACCCCGACACCTTTGCATACACTTATAGATTGGGACGAGATAAGTGAAGTGGACGTTAATTTTCCTGATACATTGAACGAGATCCCCAGATGCAAGAGATTACGTAGGTTGATGGTGATGCATATTCGGGGAGGGGGTGGGTGGAGGAGCGGGTCATGATTGCAGTCAGTACATACTGCACGCAATCAATATGCGGACAGCCAATTTGCCGTCATCATCAGGGGCATACTTTTTAATTTATCTCCATTGCTGGGGTAAACAACGATTGTCAGAATAGGGCTGGTAAGATACGCCAGACGGTAACCGAGTTGCACTATTGGTGACAACTTCGGCTCAACGAGATGATTGACTCCGGTTCTTTGTGTAGCTCTCTCTCTCTCTCTCTCACTCTAGTGACTGGCTTCCACAGCGAATGGGCCGGCAAGTGGGAGAGCTGGATGTCGTTTCCACACGGCTATAACATTTTATTTCGAAGATGGCGATGATGAGCAGAGTAGCTTCCACATTACGTAGCCAGTTTGTACATCCTAAGAATTGGGTAGGCTAGTTGGATAAGCATGATGTCGAATAAAACACTCCATGCGGTGTCGGGGCAGAAAGGAGACCACTTAGCGATGTTGTCATGCATAGCCTGGATATCAGGCAGAGCTCTGCTTTGGCAGGAGGTCTAACATTTGGTGCATAGCGCTAATGAGTAGCAGAGCGTTCTTCGACACCATGCATTCGAAGGACTCGCGCATCAAACAGCATATTGTATTCTTCCTTCAGTCTTTGCCAGAACACTCATCGCTTGCTCTGTGACAGTGGAAAAGACCCCGGACCAAGTATCCCCAGAACTGCGACATAAGGTTAGTCGGAGAACATTTGCTTTGGCAAGAGAGTTTTGCTTGGCCAACTCCTGAATGGAATAGGCCTGATGGTGTTCACTAGTCCCTTTATCCGCAAAAATCAGGCGTCCTTCTGATGTGCCTGGAAGTCCACCCGCAGACATGGGAGGACTTCGTTCAAGGACAACAGCAACGACTCACTTTCTTCTCATCCTTTCCGATTGGCCACAGGGATGGCCACGTAGATCAAATATTTGGTGCCTACGAGGAGCAGCTGTCTGTCTAGATGCACAACCACTTGCACCAAGGCGTAGGGAGGAGCAGAAATTGTTTCAACGGGCCGAGTACCAGTCATCGAGGCCGATGGCCCTGACGCAAGGGCCTCGATTGTGCACATGCGCGTGCGCGTGCGTGCGTGCGTCTGTGAATGACCTTTGTCCACCGGCAATCGATCAGCACGTGACACAACATCGTTTGGCGCGTGAGCCTGTCGCCAAGTCAGGCTCAAGTCACGTGCGCCGCGCGCATTCCACAAACACGAGGTTGTAGTCTGAGCGAAGTAGTCCTTTTATTGGCTTAATGGGTTTTAACGAACGCTGAAATTCATTTTTGATGCTCTATGGAATTTAGCTTGATGGAGAGACTGCAGGCTCAGGGTTCATTTCTACCGTAAGTTTCCTTCCCACAAGAAAGCACCTAGTGACGAGCAGATTGAGTGAAAAGTAGTCAGAAGAGATTGGGGCGGGAATACAGTGTCGCAACACTTAGAATTGTCTACTCCCTCACCAGCCTGTCTTACGGGCGGACTACTACTACTACTACTACTACTACAACCACTAATACTACTACTACTACTACTACTACTACTACTACTACTACTACTACTACTACTACTACTACTACTACTACTACTACTACTACTACTACTACCATCACCACTACTACTGCTACTACTGCTACTACTACCGCTGTTACTACTAATACTACTACCACTGGCGGGAATACAGTGTCGCAACACTGAAGAAGACTTTTATCCCGTCTACCACAACTGATACGGCGAATACTGCTAATAATCCTGCTATCAGTACTACTACTACTACTACCACCGCCACCACGGCTGCCAATGCTATTCTACCAACGCTTACAGTATGGGTAACTAACTGCAATAATACTAGCATCAGTAACGGAGTGTTGCGACACTGGTATCCAACCAAGATTGGGTCCAAACAGATGCCCATTTGTGTCTAGGTTGAACAGTTCTACTTAGAAATGGAAGAGCTCGACTTATCAGGCAAATACTATTGCGGCACAAAACACATTTATTCGCTTCCACAAGTAAATCGACCATCGCTTCTATTCAGTCTGAAGCATGCGCCTTATGCTCCATTATATTCCCCTTTTGAAACATATCGTATATGCAGACATATATGTAATAGCTATCGGACAAAGTGTTTTGGTGACCAGGCATGTTGGTTATGTAGGCCGCCTTTCGGCCATACATCTGCGGGCGCATTTCAGGCGAATCGGAATTGGCGGCGCCAAAGTTAGCATTGAATTCCTAGAACTTCTTTGCCCCAACAGTGATGAGGGCGCATGCTAATCAGTGACCAGCAAGATGCCTTCTGATATGCAGGGAGGTTGACGCCAAAGGCACTGTCGACGATAGGCATTACATTTCAGACCAGATGTGTACTTTTGAGAGTTGGTACACGGGAATAGGCACACCCCTCCCACTCTTTTCGTCCAGTTGCCTGCTCTTCCGCACCAGGATAGTTTGCTGAAATACTTGCCCTAGATATAATCAAGCCATTCTCTTCCAGTTTTGCCGATCCTCTACAAGTTGCGCATAAAGCCAACCATAGTACTTTAGATTATGTTGCTCTTGTGGTCCACTCTGCCACAAAAAATTAGATAGACGTTATCGCGAGTACACATGTGCTTTCCTTGACTACTCCTGCGCTTTCACTACCGTCCCGCACCCTCTCCTCCTTACCAAAACATCCGCGTGCGGCTCTCCAGACCGGGTCGTCACTTGGCTTAGCGATTATTCTACTTCCCGCGCGCAATTTCTTCACTGATACTGATACACTTGGTACTTGACACACTGATACTGCCAATCTGGCAGGCTGGAATCTACGGTCCTTCCCGATGACTGTGGAGTTCTTCAAGGTCCATTCTATCCCCTCACCTTTTCTCCCTCCACACCGATGATCTATGATCATCTAACGACTGTCTTTTGGTTAAGTATGCTGATGATGTGGTTGTTGGACACCCTCTCAAAAGTCAGTCACACCACCAGGTCCTAGTATGGTCGAAGGAAAATGGTCTCCTAATAAACGGCCAAAAACCAGTCAAGTGTATTTTCTGACCCGACTCCTTTGGCATCCTGCCCAACGTGGCTATACTATTTCAGGCACCTTGGCGTTACTTTGTCCTCACATCTTTCATTTCCCCTCCATATTTAATCCCTATTTACTAAAGTGCATAAACCACTTTATTGCATTCGTCGTTTACGTTCCCACCATATAGCTCAACCCTTAATTTGGCGATTCATAGGTGACGACATTCTACCTCTCATTCTATATTGCTATCCTGTCATATCGAGGTTCTGTATTGCCATTCCTAGAGCCATATCTTACGTGTGAAGAGACAGAAGTACAGAAGCTTAGACTTGAACTGTCCCCATAATAATTGTACATTTGTGTTAAACGTGTTGACTCTTGAGTAATCTATTAACATGTTTGCTGTCCATAGTGAATGGAGCCCATTTTTTGCTGAAAATTTTGAACTTATAATTTCAAAATAAAGAGAATTTCTCTCACTCACTCTCTCTCTCTCCATCTATCTAATGACTGGATATCAGAGCAGATGGGCCGGGAAGAGACCAACGCGGTCATGCAAGCCGAGTGTAGTTAGTTTCATTTGGGGGGAAGTAGAAGGAAGCGCCAATCGACACAATCTCTAAAGCTCACAAGGGTGAGACGCAGCCCTTCATGTAGCCTTGACAACCATTCTTCAGGGAGGAGTAACCATGCAGTCACCGACTGAGAGGTACTGCCCTTATGACAGTTCGACCGTCGCATCCGACGATGTCCACCGTGTGCTCCACAGCGAGGTGGGAGCAGGCAGGGTTTACGAGACTCTCGATCTGAAAACGGTGAAAGGGCAGAAAAAAAGGACTGTTTACAATCCTACCAGTCGTTCAAATTGCTCTCTGCTGCCATCTTCTTGAGAGTGTGTGCACAGTCCAAGGGTATTCAAATAGCAGTTGAGTCATTACGCCCGAGGTACAGGATGGCAGAAGTACGGTTGCAGTTTAAGCGACACCAGATTATGCAAGCAGGTCCTCCGTCTAGCGTAGTGCGACGCCTGGTAATCTCCATGCCTGATTATGCTCTGTCAGCCTCCAAGGCAAACTACTATATGTTATGTATGCAAAACAGAATGTTAATTGGAGGTAGGAGGTGTACTGATAACGAGAAACAACAGAAGTGAGGAGGCCTGTGGAAACGGTTGGGTAGATGGCAGGAGTAACTGTCATGGGCTGTTGGGTGGCCAATTATCACAAAGAAGGTGTGAACAGGGAAGTCACATCCTCCGTTGTGCTTTAGATCTCCCTCTCCCTCTCCCACTACCCCCGCCGGCAAGAACTGAGGCCCCTCCTGTCCAGCTGCAGTGACTCCCGACTGCCCTCACATTATCATCGCCTCACGCGCGTCGAACGCTCTGGCTTGATACCCGTGATTATGCGTCCCCCCTAATCCGTCCAATCTCACGACCAGCACTCAACAAGTCACCCCCACCTACTGACACAGACTTTCACCCCCGCGTAACGACACACCGCGACCAACGATCTCCGTGAACAGAGACTTATCTCTGTTTCAAGCAAACAGCCAGCTTACAACAACCTGCCCTGTGTACAGAATAAACTACTCCTCACAGCTCCTTGACTGCTGACATTAGGCGAAACGAACTTATTGTGTGTGGTTTAAGTTGATCTCACAGACTGGCTGGCTGGCTTTGTACAGCAGACGGGCAGCCTCGTCCTCGGTGTTTGTGTTGCGCGAGAGTGTGCTTCCCAAATAGGCGAAGTTGTCCACGACTTACAGTTGGTCGCCACCAATGTTGAGTTGGGGTGTGATGTAGACAGCCGTGGGTGACGGTTGATGCATAGCCATCGTCTTCTTGTTGATGAACAGGCCTAAGTTGTCGCAGGCGGCGGCGGCGGCGGCGAAGAGATCCATGCCCCTTTATGTGGTCGCGTTGAGAGCACAATCGTCCGCGAAGAGAAGTGCATGGACGGTAGTTGTGGATACATGCGACTGGAAGTGCATCCGCCAGTGATTGAGGGGTTGGACGTCCGTCCTGTAGGCGATACGGATCCCAGGGCGTTCATCACGGTAGGCGTCCATCAGCATGGCAAAGAACATAAAACTGAAGAGGGTGGGCGCGAGGATGCAGCCCTGGTTCACTCCGTTGGTCATTTTGAATGCCTCCGAGACAGCTCCATTGTCTGTGACTCGTGCAATCATGCCATCGTGGAGCTGCGTATACTTCCTGCCATCAAGGTCCTCTTCGAAATCAAACGATGCAGACGTTTTTGCCTTGATAGTGAAATGCGACAGGTGAGTGCCTAATTTAAGGCCGCATTTGGGCTTTTTGTGGGCGGACAATCTACAATATCGCGAAGGTCCGTATCGATATGTAATGCTAGCCGGTACTGTATGGGCTTCAATTTCTCCGCCAGTCCTTTTGCTATTGTATAATATTGCGATTTCCTCTTGTCTCAAATTGGACGAACCGACCTGCCCTCCTTGCGGATAGTTGGCAAGCCATATAACCGAGCTGTATGCGCGCCCAGGGGTCGGAGACGCTGTAGGTCGTGTTCACTTATGAAACCATTCGTTTGAAGTCTTTTCAAACAGTCGATCAACTGAGCTTCAACCTCATCTGTTTGATCCTTTTCATTTTCTGCCTTTCGGAAATTTTCCTGTCCCTAAACAATTGACTGTACTTTTGCAATGTAGTTGGCCCTGTCCGCCAAAACAACACCAGATCCTTCATTTTTTTGCTGCGTTGGAGTTGCATTGATTTTTCAATATATGACTTCGTCAGTGAGCCTCGACATTTGTGGCCACTCGATGGACATTTTATGAAAAGATAGAGACGAATTATTGTGCACGTACCGATGCCCCCCAAACGGACCACTTGGTAGATGCGCTGGATCAACACGGGCACCACAGCGAATTCTGGCAGGCGTTATCGGAGTTGCGCAACAGAACAAATGCCAACACTTTGGAGATGCGGTGGCAGACCCAGATGTCGACATACGTCGCGCCCATTCAAGCCCCTGCTCCCCCTTTCCATTTTTGCACTTGGTCAAAAAGCTGGTCATTTGCTGTGCGGGGCAGTGGTGTGGAGTGGGGCCCAAGGGTGCGGGCCCAACCGCGTCATCCACCTGCGCCCCGCCCCCCCCCCCCCCGCCTCCAGTATTCTTGTCTCTGTCTTGACACGGGTCCAGGTGGGGAGGGGGAAGAGAGGGAGGGCAATATACGCTGTGCCCATCTGCTATAACTATAAATTAATTCAGGGCTCAAGTCACCATCCCCTGCTCTCAAGTTGCTGTGGAGCACAAGGTGGACATCGTCGACAACGACGGTCGAACTATCGTGTTCGTACCGACTTGGGTCTCCAGGGAGCCTCGATTGTGGTCGGCCTTCGAGGGAGTTCATTACTGGTCTCCTTCTGTCGTTTGTCCTTCGCTTCTCGTCTTCGCTGTCGCTGTGCGTTTGCATAAACCGATGCTGTACTGGCTTCACTGGTGCATCGTCGTCGGATTCGCACTGAATCGAAAACAGATGCAATGGCATCCCTTGGGGTGATGACGGAAATGTTGAACCGATGGTCGAACTGTAGTGTGTGTGTGTGTGTGTGTGTGTGTGTGTGTTTGGGGTGTAGGGGTGTCAGCGGTGGGTTCACGTGATGGTCGTAGCGGTCGCTCACTTGCTTGCAGGTGAGACAACGCCTGTGCACGCACATTCATCTCTCGCATCGGCCTGGTCGGTCACTTGCGAATCCATCGCACAGAGACTGGTGAACCAGTGCCTGGAGCACCAACCTACTCCCACCAAGCTCGACTCAACTGCCCACACTGCCCCCGCACTTTCAGGCACCGAATGGGTCTATTCGGTCACATGCGCATCCACGACGACCTGCGGTAGACAACCGCCGGTTACACCACACATTCACAAACTCCATACCCTCCTTCACCATCACCACTACGCATTAACACTCACCCACCGCATGCACCAACTGCAAACTTCCACGCAAGTGGGAAGTGTGCATCTCGACTCGGTCCCCATGCGGCCTCGGCTGCACGGGTGACTTGAGTCCGAGACTATCCCGACACGTCAAGCGTCGTGAATAGGAAGGTTGCTGATTGACGCCCGTTCTCGGTTCACGCAGTTCGTCACGTTGTGTGTGTGTGTGTGTGTGTGTGTTTGTGTTGTGTGGAATGGCGGACTGGTGGGCTGGGGACGGGCTGAAGCAGCACCTTCCACGGCCCTCTCACGCAAGTGAGAGACACGCCGTTCAACCCCCGTTGTGTGAAATCCTGGTGTTTGTGTGTGTATGGGGGGCCAGGTCGTGCTGTGGCGCGCGCAGGCATGGTCAGTCGACCGTGTCAGCCACCGCGCCCATTCCCCACTCCAGTCTGCTGACCGGCTCGGACAGTGGCTGTGGTGTGGGAATGGGAAGGAAGAGTGAGGTCGACGACTCAGCGCACTTTCTCCTCACTATAAACAATCTGACGCGCTTGAAGCTATTACGGTGCGCTAAAAGCCGTGGCTTGGGAGGTTGCCAACTGACGGGGTACCTTGGACCTCCTCCTTTACTGGAGGCGGTCTAAGAGTCAGGCTGCAATGGCTCCTTCTTAATGTGGCCTTTATGGCCCTCCTACCGCAGTGTGGGATCCGAGCCAGGTGTTGGCGGCACGCGCAGGTGCGGCTTCGTCAGTGCCAGCCTCCAAATCTCTGCTGTGTTGGTCGAAATCCCGGTTATTTGTTGTGTGGACCAGGGGTTGTGGTGGAACGCCAAGGTGAGTATCCGTCCGAGCTATTCACCTGCGGCCTCCCTCGTATCCGGTCTTCTTGACTCTGTCTTGACACCGAGCCCAGGCGGTGGAGGAGGAGAGAGTGTAGGTAGATGCAGCGCAAGTCTACTAGCACTATAAACCCTGCGTAATTCACCGTCCCTGCTCCCACCGCTGCTGCAGCTGTGGGACACACGGTGGACATCATCGAAATCGATGGTTGAACTGTCGTCGTGTGTGTGTGTGTGTGTGGAGGGAGTGTAGGGGTGTCAGCGGTGGGTTCACATGATGGTCCTAGTAGTATGAACGATCGCCTGATGAGCCTCCGTCTGCCTCTCCGGCGGGGGGGGGGGTTGGGGGACAAATTCGCCACCATCATCAGCGCCTACGCTCCGCCGATGACCAACCCCGACGCCGTCAGAGACAAATTCTACGAGGATCTGCACGCACTCTTGGCGACTGTGTCGAAGGCGGACAAGTTAATTGTCCTTGGTGACTTCACCGCCCGCGTCGGCACAGACCATACTGCCTGGAGGGGAGTGCTGGGTCCCCACGGTCTCCGCGGCTCAAACGACAACGGCCTGCTGCTGCTCCGCACCTGCGCAGAACACGGCCTCCTCCTGACGGACACCTCCTTCTGTCTCCCGGAGCGAGAGAAGGCCACCTGGAGGCATCCTCGGTCGCGTCGGTGGCACCTGCTGGACTATGTCCACGTCCGGAGGCGAGATCAGCGGGACGTGCTTGTGACGAAGGCGATCGCGGGTGCAGACGGGTGGGTCGATCACCGCCTCGTCATATCGAAGATGCGAATTCGTCTACAGCCTCGCAGGAGACCACAAGGTAAGCGACCCCCAGGTAAGCTGAATGTTGCTTTGTTGTCTTTGCCTGTTCACCGTCTCCATTTCAGCAATGAGCTAGCTCAACGGCTAGACAACATTCCAATCGCTGCCGACGCCGCCACTGCCTAGAACGCCCCCGTGGAGAACCGCAGGTGTCAACTGCGAGACACGGTCCAGTCGATGGCGCTCGCCGTCCTCGGTCGCGCTCCCCGCAAACACCAGGACTGTTTCGACGACAACGACGCCGCCATCAGAAATCTGCTTGCTGAGAAGAACCGCCTACACAAAGCCTACGTAGATCACCCCAATGAGGACAACAAAGCTGCTTTCTACCGCAGCCGCCGCCAACTTCAGCAACGACTGCGCCAGATGCAGGACGCCTGGACTGCTCGAAAAGCTGAGGAGATTCAAGGCTACGCGGACCGCAACGAATGGAAGAACTTCTTCTCCGCTATCAAAGCTGTCTACGGTCCGCCGACGAAGGGCACTGCTCCTCTCCTCAGCGCCGACGGCAGCACTCTCCTGACTGAGAAGACGCAAATCCTACAGCGATGGGCCGAGCATTTCCGAGGCGCCCTCAACCGCCCCTCCGTCATCTCCGACGCCGCCATCGAGCGTTTGTCGCAAGTGGACACCAACGTGGACCTCGACCTCCCGCCATCTCTCCAGGAGACCATCAGGGCCGTGCAGCAACTCTCCAGGGGAAAGCACCCGGATCGGACGCTATCCCTGCTGAGGTCTACAAGCACGGTGGTCCCCGACCGATGGATCACCTGACTGCGCTCTTCCAGGAGATGTGGCGTCAAGGTGAAGTCCCGCAAGATTTCATGGACGCAACAGTCGTGCATCTATACAAGCGAAAAGGAAATCGCCAAGTCTGCTACAATCACCGTGGCATCTCCTTGCTGAACATCGCCGGGAAGATCTTCGCTCGCATCTATCTCAACCGCCTCAATAATCATCTGGAACAGGGCCTTCTGCCGGAAAGCCAATGCGGATTCCGTCGTCATCGTGGGACCACGGATATGATCTTCGCCGCCCGCCTACTTCAGGAGAAGTGTCAGGAGATGCGGACCCACCTGTACTCTACCTTCGTGGACCTGACGAAAGCCTTTGACACGGTGAATCGTGAAGGACTGTGGAAGATCATGCAGAAATTCGGCTGTCCGGAGCGATTCACTCAGATGGTGCGTCAGCTGCACGACGGTATGATGGCGCGAGTCACGGACAAGGGAGCTGTCTCAGAGGCATTCGCACTGACCAACGGAGTGAAGCAGGCATGCGTACTGACACCTACCCCGAAGTCCTTCCTGAAGCGCCTGAAAATCAACACGGCTCGCAATCGAGCGACCGACCTGGAGGAGGACAGTGAAGACAGGCGCTGCGATCTACGAAGCCAATCGCATCGCTGCGGCCAAGGCGAAACGCGAAGCCCGCAAATCCCAACTTCGTCCAGTACGCATCGCCGTCGCCCAACCGCTTCCAACGTGTCCTCGATGTCAACGGACATTCCGGGCTCGAATCGGACTTGTTGGACACCTTCGGATCAACTGCGCCTCTCGAACTGCGCCAACCATCGTTCCCCCGCCCGCCTCTTCCTCCCCTCCGTCGCCAACTAACTCTGACATTTCTTCTGAACCACCACTCCCAC